TTACTCCTTTCTTTTTAGCCATAAATGCCTTCACTGTTAACTCGCCCCCCCCCCCCCCCCCCCCCCGTATAGATGTGTCCTAAGAAGAGCTTAGTCTCTGGCCTGGATTCACTGGGATTCAACACGCCCACCCCCCGCCTTAATTCAGACGCAGGCGCAGCCACCCAGTCCCTCTCCCAGCTCATGGCTACCAGAAGCTATCCTGTCCCCAGCTTTGCCTATACTCTGTGGGGGCCTTTGTATGAGTAACTCCCAAAGCTTGGGATCTCCTTCCTGCCCAAACCCCTCAGCTGCACAAGCCAAGCTGTGGGTTAGGGGCTAAAGGAGAATGGGCTTCAATCTAAATCTGTTAGTTTTTCTAGTTGCAGGAGTCAGGAAAAGAAGGGAGAGAGAGAGAGAGAGAGAGAGAGAGATTTCAAGGCAGGGGTGTGGCTTGGATACTGGGCTCTGTGGGGGCTCCTTATTCCAAAGTAGCCCCAGAAGGGTGGAGAAGGAATTTGGAGGAGACTCCATAATTGGAGCCAGGCTGTGAGAAAGGGAAACTCAGGGACCAGAGGCACAAGCGTGGAGGCAGAGGAAGGATGACCCACCCGGAAGGAAGGGGCAAGGTGGAGGTACAGAGGGCCCCTGGGCTCTGCTGGGACCTGGACTCTGGTTCTGCCCCGGGTCTCTGGCATGGCCCAGAAGAAGTCGCTGGCTGGGGAAGATGGAGCCTATCTCACCGGCTCCAAGGGGTTTTTAGTCCCCTGCCTATTCATTGTGCAGTGTTCAAAATGTGCTCTCAGAGTGAAGCCATGGGGTTAGACCATGGACTTGAAGCGTCCTTCCACCAACCCCTGGCCCCTATCCCAGGGCACTCCTGCCGTCCCTGCTCCAACCTGCTAGAGTCCCTACTCTGGCTTCACTTCTGGGGATCCTGCAGCCCAGACTTCCTCTTTCTGGCCCTGAAAGTGGCTACAGTCTCCTCTGGGCTGTCTACATTATTTTTATGGCCCCATGACTCCTTATAGCTGTCCCTCTCCTCCCCCCCAATCTACTATCCCCCAATTTTCTCTCTGCTAATAATTGCTTGGGACTAGGGACGGCAGCTCATGAACAGATCTTGGTTGCTCGTATGTTTTTTGTTGCCCCTGCACCGTTCTTCCTTTATTATTATACACTTATCATTTTTATTATTCACCTGAACTGGAGAAAATAAAGTAGGGGACAGTCAGGAGCCTGGGAATCCCATTCTTTCTAGGCAGAAAAGACCATGTATGGGGACCCAGTTCAAATTTTTTTTCTCAAAAAAAAATCACATCATCATTCAGTCATGTTTTAATTATTATTATTAATATTAATATGATGAAGCAACTCTGTACAAGGACTCTATAAAGGGAAAACGTGCTAAAGACAGACGTTTGACTAGGAGGGCACACTACAGAGAGCTGGGGAGGGCATCTACCCACAGAGACTAGACTAGGTACTAGCAAGGGACACAGAGAACAGGACACAGATTGACAGAGAAGCTCACGGAAGTCAAGTTTAAAGCGACAGGAAGAGAATATTGCATATCTTTACACCCCCACCCCCTTTGGAGTGTTCTGGTCTCTCTTCTCTAGTAGGCTGTGGGAGGCAGGCTGGAGGGGTGAAGCTTGAATCCAGCACCCCAGGGCCCACAAGGTCACAGGAGAGGCTGCATGAAGGGGTACATGGGTGACCAGGCAAAGGGGAGAGTGCCTCACACTCAGGGCCAGCCCACAAGGGATTGTGCAGACAGCAGGAATGGCGCTGATTTCTGTGAACTTGTTGTATACGGGTGAAACAAGTTTATGTCAGTGGGGAAGTGTGGCAGGTGCCCAGTGGCGATGAGGGCATGTGATTGTACCGCCACTCTGCAGGGCTGCATTTGGGGACATGAGGCTGCCTGCTTACAAGTACTGGTGGGGGTGGGGTGGGGGGGGACCAGTGGGGGTGCCGGGCTCCGCTGTGCCTGCCTTTGCCCATGCCTCTGCACAGTCTTGTCCAGGGACTTGACGCTGTGTGCTGGTGGGAGAGCGGCAGGCTCCGTGGATTGCCATTGGAGGGGGTGTTAGGAGAGACTCTTCCAGGGCAGGAAGAACTCCCAAGCTGGCAGGCCAGTTCACAGTGTCCAGGCTGGGCTTAACGCTCATCAGCTCCCTGTTTTTGCTCTCCTTGCTCCTGCAAGGGTGGGTGGGTGGGCAGAGGGGAAGTCGGGGGAACTCTCACCAAGAGGGATAAAAACGGAGGGCAGGAAGGTGCCGAGCTTCTCCACTGCTTCTCTCTCCTAAGCCAGCCTAGATCTAGTGGGCTGGGGCTGGGGCCTGAAGAGGGCTTTGAATAAAAGGCCCTCTGCAGAAGAAGCCACTCTTTGGCTTCCGACCGGTTCTGAGGATGTGTCCCTCCTTCAGCTCTGGTCCTTGTACTCGGCGCCTCGCCGGCCAGGGGGAGGCGGAGGCAGAGGATCCTGAGACAAAGGGCGACGTTGTGGGGTGGGGTGGGGGGGGGGGCGGGTGGAAGGGGGGTGGGTAAAAGAGAGAAAGGAGTTGTGTGGGGGACTGCAGCGCCCCCCTCCTTCATTGTCACCAGCCTGGGAAACCAGGGCTGAGCAGGGGCCTCTGCGGCCGGTAGCCCCTTTAGGGGCAGATTCTCCTCCTGCCTCGTAAATTATGCCGGTCCAGCCTCTGGCCGGCCGTGACCGTGAACGCCAGCGGGGAAGGGAGAATCAGCGGCGGTAGCCGCGGCTGCCAGAAACTCTCCCGGCCAATCAATGCCGCGCTTCGCAGACTCTTTCACAGCCTCTTGGGCTTCCTGGAGGGCCAGGTGGGGGTCCCTGGGGTGGCTACTATGCCCGAGGCTGCGTCCGCTGGGCTCTCAATTCCGCGCTTGCGGCTTCCGGTCCGCAGCCGCCTAGGCGGCAGGAAGAGTGCCTGGCGGCACACCTGTGAGCGAATGGGCGGGCAGAGGCGTCGGGAGAAGGCTGGAGACCAGGAGACTTTTCAGGCAGCCCGCCCCAGAGAGGACTTAAGGCTGATGGTCGCCTTGTCCGCAGCCGGCTCTGTCAAACGCCTGTGCCTCGGCCTCCAGGCCCAGAGGACCAGACCCCAGCGGCCTTTACCGGGCATTAATGATCACTCTGTTCTCCCAAACCGCACTTCCTCCCAGGTTTCTCCACTTCCTCCTGCCCTTGCATAGCTACGCTGACCCCTGCCAATCTCTCCGCCGACGCTCCGCTCTTGCTCCCTCCTAACCCCAACCGCTGGGAGTTTGGGGAGCCTCGGTTCCACTGTCCCCACTTTTGCCTACTGCAGGTTGACTTCCGACCACGGAAGGAAAGTGGTGGGAGGGGGGCGCCTGGATTACCTTTGCTCCAGCTCCTCAGCCCCGGGCCCAGTGCCCCGGTCCCACTGCAAACCAGTCCTTCCCCAGCACCTCAGCCTTCCCTGCCCCTATCCCCTGCCTGCAGCTGTGGGCTTCCTCTCTCCTTGGCTGGCTTCTTCCCTTCTCTCTGGGACCTGGCAGGGCCTGCTGGGGGTGTGTGGGAGGGAACCACAAACAAAACAGACAAGAGGATGTCCAGGGAGGGCCTGCCAGAGATGCCTGGCGTTCTAAGCGGGGACTGGGTCCCAGGCAGTGCCCCCCTCTTGCTCCCTGCCAGAGACAGGCTCAGTCCGGGGCCGGTGCCCGTGTCTTGCCGCCTAAAAGAAGGAGAGAGCTTGCTCCCTCAACAGAAGTCTTTTCTTTTTCATTCTCCGGTTCTGAAACCAGATCTTGACCTGCTGGTCACTAAGATTCAAGCGGTCTGAGAGTTCCCTCCGGCGCTGCCGCGTGATGAACTCGTTCACCAGAAACTCCCCCTCCAGCTCCGCCAGCTGCAACTTCGAATAGGGCTTGCGCTTCTTCCGGGAGCGGCTGTGGATCGGGTACCAGGGCGCGCCTGGGTGGAGACGAACCGGCAGCGTTGGCCAGAGGACCAAGAGGTGACAAGCCCGGTGCCCTCGGTCCTTCCCCAGCCCTTTGCACCTTGGCCTAACCGCCCAACCCCAGGCCCCTGCTCTCCCATCTCCCATCTCCTCTCTTCTACGCAGACCCCCATCCCCATCAACTCTCCCACTTTCATCATCCTCTTTCCCCCCTTTCGCTCCTCCTGGCCTCCTCGACTGGACTTCCCACCGTAGTATCCCTGGACCCTCTGTGCTTCGAACCCCTCACTTCTCCCCAAAGCTCTTCTGCTCCCGGATGTCCTGGCCCCTTCCTTTCACCTTCTCCAGGATGTGCTGGGTCCCTGATCAGCTAGAACAGACATGAATGAGCCAGTGGCCAGAGTTAAACCAGGTCCACTGGCGTTTCTTAAGAGAGAGAGAGAGAGAAAAAAATGTAGGTAACAGAGTCTGTGCGAAGGCGGGGGGGGGGGGGGGGGGAGGTCCTAGAGAGCAGAGACCAAGCTCTCGGTCCCCACCCCCCACCCCTAGGCCTGGGGAAGTCTAGGTCAGAATCCCCTTGGCCGGAGCTCCCTGCCCCCTCTAGCCAGCCGCAGGTTCAGAAAAGGGGAATCTCTCCAGTTCTTTTATGGGGATATTTACATGTTTATAGGCGCTCCCGCCACCCCGCACTTCTTTTTAAAAGAAGCCCTTCCTCACCACACATTCTGTCACCCCAGGCGGCCCTAGCTCAGTCCTACCCTGCCCGCCCCGGTGAGCTGTCCGGTCCTGAGTACGCCTCAAGAGTGGGCCGGGGTCCTTACCGCTGGCCGCGAGCCCGCCGCCGGGGTTTAAAGGCGATACCAAGCTGCCCGGGTCGCCGGCGCCGGCGCCCTTGTTACCCTCGTTGAGCAGGGACGAACTGGAGTCGGATTCCAGTGACTGGCACGAGGGCGGGTCGTGCGGGGGTCCCGCGCCCCCGTCGCCGCCGCCGCCGCCCGCCGCGTAGTCGTACTTGAAACCGAGTGCAGGGGGCCCCGACGGCTCCAGCGGCAGCAGCGCCGCCCCTGGCCCGACTCCTGGGCCCGGGTCGCGCCCGCGCTCCTCACGCTTCAGGCCCCCGCCGCCCTCGGCGCACGGCTCGCGGTAGTAACCCTTGCTGTCCTCCACGCGCGCCAGCTCGCACGTGCGGCCAAAGGGCGGGTTGAGCGACACCGGGCTGCCGAGATAGGGCTGCGGGTAGCCATTGCAGGGCTCCGCCGACGGCCAGGGCAGCGAGCACACGTTGTCACGGCGCGGGTAGGACAGCGAAGGCAGCCCTGGCAGCTGCGCCCCGGACGCGCGGAAGTTGGGGAAGTAGAACGTGTCTCCCGTGTGGATGTTCACCAGCGGCCCCACAAACCCGGGATTCAGGAGATTATGCTCGCCCATTTCCGCGGGGCCCGGCCGGCAGCTTCTACTTTATTGCTATCTGACATTAAACATAGTTAAACCTGCACCGGCCACCCATTGGCCATCGGGCTCACGTGGGCGCCGCCGCCAGGGGGATGGGTGGGGACAGCGAATCCCCCCACCTTGCACCAACTCCAACTTCCCCCTTCCCCACTCTGGGGTGGGGGGGGGGAGAGACAAAACTCGGGGGCAGATTTAGTCTCTGGTTTCTGGTTTTTAAAAATATCATAAAACCTAATGCAGGCAGTGAGTCAATCGCCCGACCCGGGGCAAAAGGGAAAAAGCCACACCAAAAATCCCCGCACATACACACTTCTGCACCATGCACCCCCCCCCCCCCAGATGTATTATCTTCTCACCAACAGCTGGCCAAGCACAGCCTGTCCCTCTTTAATTAGCTCCTTTATTAACTAAAACCGTTGGAATTTACAATATCTCCCCAATAAATTACTATTAGATATTGTGTCATATAAAGTTTACTGGCTGTTTAAGGAGACGGATGAGCCCTTTGGCTCGGGGTTTATTTACAGTAGAGGCGAAGTGGGGGTAAGGACAGGTTTCCCTGCCACGGTCTTTCCCAGCCCTGCTACTGCGGTACTCCTCCTCCTCAGCTCTATCTGCACAGGAATTTGGGGGGACACTTGGGGTCCTTTCCTCCAGGAAGGACTATGAGAGAATTGCAGTGCTGGGTATTCCCACCTCCTCACCCCCCCCCCCCCAAGCTGGAAGCCACCCTAGCCTCACATTTCCACTCACCATTATAGGATGCATGCAGAAAGGAAGCAGGAAAAGGAGGTGCCCAGCTCGATGTGGACCTGACTACCTGCTCTTGAAAATCTGGGGGCCTGAACTACTCTTCCTTGTGACTTTTGTGGGTCACATGAGCTTCTGGGGGGTCTTCCGGGGTCTTTGCAGCAAGAGGCTCTGGGACTCCAGCAGAGCTTGGGCTGGCCTGAGAGGCTCCCGATTCCCACTTCGGAGTAGACCCCCACACTCCAGAACCATCTAAGCCTGCCGCTGGGACCATCAGATGGCGGTGCCAATGCCAGTAGGTGTGCTGGGGGTGAGGGAGAGGGATCTGGAGAATGATCTTGTTGGGGGCTTAAAATTATATTTACGGTGCTAACCTCAGCAGCTCCTTTCAGAAAAGGCTGAGAACCCGACGCTGGCCATTGATGAGATTAATCGACATCTGGAAACCACAATCTGATCTCAACTAGGTCCACAGAATACAGACAAGCGGATTAAAATGAAAAACAAAACAAAGCCTTCAGCACTAGGTGTATCCTATTGGTGCCTAGTAGACAAAATACTCGGATTTCTATTTGATTGTTTCAGGCTCCTCTACAATATGAACGGCTTTAAGTAATACAAAGTCCAACAGATAGTTCAGCAAACGTCTAAATACGGGGAAGCATCAGAAGAGCTAGATGGAGAAACCGAGGGTCTCCGCGAGAATCGGGCCGAAAGCAACCCACGTAGGTGAAAGTTAAGTATCTGAGAATTAGCTGAACCTACAAAAGCGGATCTAAGCTGAGGCTTCTCATCTCCCCTTTTCTCCCTCTCTCCTCTGCAGGACGCGGCAGAGAGAAACTCAGATTCTTCGAATTCCACAGCTCGCCAGGCGATTTCATTTCCTAAACCCGAACTGCTCCCTCGGACAGAAATTTGTCTGCAAGAGCGTCGCCCTGCCCGGCGCAGCTCAGAGCTCCCAGCGCGGCGCCCGCCCCTCGCCCCGCTTCCCCTTCCCCTTCCCCGCCCCGGCTGCCCCGGCTGCCCGGCCAGGCCCCTCCCGCCCCCAGGAGCCCGCCCCACGTCCGCCGGGCCCACTTGCCGGAACCGAGGCCGAGCGGTGAGATGCTAGCCCCGTGCAGTCACCTCCAGTCAGAACCGCGCGAGCCGGGGCGCCGAGCGGCGGGCAGGAGACCGCCTGGATTGGCCTTTTGGTGCCTAATTGATTACGGGGCTGCGCGGCTGCAGAAGGAAGCATCCCTGCGCCGCAAGTTCCACGTCACAGCATCTCCAACATTCTATTTATGCCCCCTTTCCGAGATGCATTGATGAGCACCACTGAAAATTTAATTTTTAAAACATTTATTTGGGGGTGAGTTGGGTCCTCCAGATTAAAAAAAAAAGGGGGTGTGTGTGACTTGAAGATTGTTGCTGTTTTCGACCAGAACACTGCGCAGGCAGCAAGGTCTCCAGGCCTCCAGGCCTCTGTGCTCAGCCGCTATTGTTGGTGTGAGGGATGCCGAGCTGAGCTGCGCGGAGTAATCACTAGTCCGTGTGGGGCAGAGGCTACTGCCCATTCTCTTTTACTCTTCCAGATGACTCCAGTGTCCTCGAGAGGGGACCCCAGGAGGAAGGCCTCAGCCTCCCCGTGTCCCTCCCTAGTTGGAAAATCTCAGGCCCAGAGCCCGGCACGCTGCCCTCCGGCCAGGCCGCTGAGCACACAGAGCCGCGGCCACAGGGCGGCAGATAGAACGCTGGGGGAAATGAGAACGGAGTGAGGGCTTCGTTCTTCCAGTGTCTCCCAGTCGGATCCGGCCCCAACTGAAAAGGCCACTTTCCCCAGGTTTCGGACTCTGTGGGCAGTGGCACACGCACACATCCCTCCTGGTTCCGTGCAGCTGGCCCTGCTTCCTCTCAGGGAGAGCCGCCGAGAACCACCAGCCACGTTCGCATCCCCGGTCCAGCTCCTCGAGGCCCATCGTGAGCCTGAGGGGTTTCAGGATGCCGGCGAGGACCCAGGCAATCCCAGTGCGCCACCGCTGATCTGCCCACCTTCAGGGAACCCAGCCACACACGCAGCTCGGCCCCTGCCTTAACTCAAGCTCCCACGAACAGGCCCCTGAGCGCCGCGCCCAGCCTGGGTCCCCGGGGCCGGCGGGAGGCTCGGGTGCGAAGCCTCAAATTTAAAACCGGCCTCGGCGGCGGGAACCGACTGGGGCTGAGGGAGGGGGACCTGGAGGGACTCGCAGCTCAAAGCGCCGGGTAGCTGCGTCTAACCGAGAGTTTTATCCAGCCGCATTTCGCAGCCCACATGCAAAACTATAATTGGCCAGACCCAGGCTCTGGAACCGCGGAGCGATCTGTGCGTCCGCTCGCCCGCACATTCATCAAATCACAAGGTTAGTGGAGGCGGCCTGCCTGCTGGCCCCTGAGCCACGGGCTCCTGCTGTAGCTGGCCTGGCTCCACCATGCCCCGCTCATTAACTCAGGGGTTAATTATAACTGAAGGCTAGGACGCGGCCCAAGGCTTTCCTTGAAGACCCGAGGCAGCCCTCGTGCTCCGGCGCACCCACCAGCTGGCCGCCGCGCCGCCTGTCTGCATCCCTCCCGCGTCCGCGAGGGCTCGGGTGACAGGGGCCAAGCGGCTGCGTGAGTCTCAGGCCACCGAGGAGCGATTGCTAGCTGCTGTGATCTGGCTCCCCCACCGATCCCAGGTCAGAATTATTCCGCGCGGTGCTGCCTTCTCCACGGTCACTTGAGAGGCCTCGGTGGCCCAGTTCAAGGTCACTGCCTAGTTTGCAGAAAGCGGTTCTGCCGCGTATGCAAATGAGTCAGGGCCTGGGCCCCCGATGGGGGGTGTGTTGGCACTGAGCGGGCGGGGATAGGGGAGATGAAAAGCGGCCGATGAGGAAGGTCTGGACCCCCAGCCGACCCTTCAGACCTCTCTATTTCGTTCCTTTGGGGCGGGTCCGCCTTGGTTCAGCATCTTTGTCGGGTTCAGACAAGGCTGAGGGATGGAGGTAAGGGGACTCCGTCTCCTCTTTCTTCCCTTCCCTAACTCCTCCATGGAGCTCACCTTGGTTCCCAGCCACCCCTCCGGGTGTCCAAGACTCAAGAAGAAAATAGGGAGACCCCTTCTCCAGGTGCTGCTTTCTAGGGATCTGCAGCCTGACGGGAAGAAGGGGGGAGGCTTTAAAGGAACCTTGGGTGAGGGGCCCAGTCAGGCTTTCAAGCTCACACAAGAGGCCTGGGGTCAGCAGCGAGCTTCCTTACCTCCTCTAATGCTTCTGCGGCATCTCTGGGCCCGCTCCCACCACAATGGCCACTCAGGAAATGAAGGGGGGGG